ATATGGCCAGTAAAATGGGCTCCTGATCACTATGTACTTCAAGGAGAGCTCCCCAGGTGGGAATAATTTTTTTCCAGAAGAATTTTGGCCACAGCTGAAGCAGTGGCTTATCTACCAGGAAGAGCCTCTACCCAATAGGAGAACATGCAAATCATTACTAGTACATATTTACACACATGGAAGTGGGTGTTTGGATAAATCCATTTGTCAAAACTTGAAGGGCTCATTAGGTAAATTAAAATGTCCAGGATCAGGATATACATATTTTCCTGGGTTAAACAGGGCAAGTGGCACAAGCCAAATAGGCTTTTTTTTTTTTTTGGCAAGTTTTGTTTTGTTTTGAGAGAGGGTCTCACTCTGTCACCCAGGCTGGAGTGCAATGGCACGATCTCCACTCACTGCAGCCCTAATCTCCTGGGCTCATGTGATTCTCTCACCTCAGCCTCCTGAGTAGTTGGGACTACAGGCACATGCCACTATGCCCAGCTAACTTATTTTTTCGGTATTTTTAGTAGAGTCAGGGTTTTGCTATGTTGCCCAGGTTAGTCTCGAACTCCTGGACTCAAGCAATCGGCCTGCCTTGGCTTCCTAGAGTGCTGGGATTACAGGCCTGACTGAGAGCCACCAGACCCGGCCAGTGCAGCTTCTTTTAATTTCACTCCCCCTAATATTGTTTCATAAAATAAATTAATTTGTTAATTCCCCAGTGAGACAAATTAGGTACTGCAGTTAACAATATTCAGTTGAAGAGAACTGGTTATCAGGCCTAAGCCACAGTTCTTTTCTTTTTCTTTTAATTTTTCAAATCATTGAATTAGCAGCCGTGATCTTTCCAATTTTGGTGTTCAGTTTCTGGTGCTTAATTTTGTGCATCTTTGGGAATTATTTTTAGATCATCTTTTGGAGGCTCTTTCAGTAAGGCCATGAGAGAGATTTGAGGAACCGGACCTTTAACAACAGCATTCTTTGCGGCGTTATCGGCCAAGGCTGTTTCCTCCAGCTTCCGAAGTGGCTAACCTTGAATGTCCACGAGTTTCCATAATAGCCAATGCAGCTGCTAGCTGGATGGCATCCAGTATATTCTGTACATAGGATCCATTTTTATTTATTTTATTTACTTTATTTATTTTATTTTTTTGAGTCAGAGTCTCGTTCTGTCGCCCAGGCTGGAATACAGTGGCACAACCTTGGCTCACTGCAGCCTCTGCCTCCCAGGCTCAAGCAATCCTCCTGCCTCAGCTTCCCGATCAGCTGGGCTTACAGGCGCACGCCACCACACCCAGCTAATTTTTGTATTTTTAGTAGAGACAGGGGTTTCACCAAATTGGTCAGGCTGGTCTCGAATTCCTGACCTTGTGATGAACCTGTGTCGAGCTCCCAAAGTGCTCGGATTACAGGCATGAGCCACCGAGCCTGGCCATAGGATCCATTTTTAATTTGATCCCCAGTGGAAGTGAGGAAACCCCTCCATTTCCATAGCAGTCCAAAGTCAGGAGCAGCGCCAACGGCATTTCTACTATCTGTGCAGAGTAACAGATTTCCCTTTCTTGAGGCAGCCAGTCCAGGTAACGGCAGTGAGTTTAGCTTGTTAGGCAGAAGTAGCCACAGGGCTGGGCACAGCAGCTCACACCTGCCATCCCAGCACTTTGGGAGGCTGAGGCAGGCAGATCACGTGAGGTCAGGAGTTTGAGACTAGCCTGGCCAACACGGCAAAACCTCATCTCTACCAAAAATACTAAAAAAAAATTAGCCGGGGATGGTGGTGGGCGCCTGTAATCTCAGCTACTTGAGAGGCTGAGGCAGGAGAATCGCTTGAATCCAGGGGGCAGAGGCTGCAGTGAGCTGAGATCGCACCACTGCACTCCAGCCTAGGCAACAAAG